AGAGAATGCTACCAAGCCTACTTTCCAGCTGTAAAACTATTGCTTTACTATTCATGCATGTGGTTGGGTGCACAAGCTATCATTTTGGGGTTTTGCCCCATTTTGCTGGACTTGCTGTCAACACTGCATCAGTGTTGTAACTTATCCTGTTTTCTTAGGTTAAGTTACCAAAACTACTGAGATAGGTGTTGGAAACCATTGTGGTGTTGGATGAAGTAAACTTACTTGTGGCTCCACATGGGACACAAAATATATTCCAGTGCCTAATTGTTCCAAAGGTATTATGTAGGATCATGTAATCCAACTCCCATTGACACCCTTCTTTTAAAGAAACACTGGATTGGATCAATCTGACCTGGAACAAGACTTTTAAGGATTATCAGATAAGGAAAACCAAAGTTGTAAAGGATACTTCACACTACATATATATGGTACACCGGGGTGCAGTGGTTAACACTTTTACCTGAGTTTGCATGTTCTCCCTGTGCATGCGTGGGTTCTCTCCGGGTACTCTGGCATCCTCCCACAAGACATGCTTTTTAGGTTAATTGGTGACTCTAAAATTGCCCGTAGGTGTGAATGTGAGTGTGGCTGGTTGTCTGTCTCTATGTGTCAGCCCTGTAATTGACTGGCGACCAATCCAGGGTGTACCCGCCTCTTACCAAATGACAGCTGGGATCAGCTCCAGCACCCCATGACACTGAATGGGAAAAGTGCCATAGTTAATGAATGGATGGATGATAGAATTATTTTAATCTTTTTGGGTTTGGTTACCTTTATCTTATCCGATAATTTAATCATTTTTTTTAACAACTCAATTTGAAGATTTTACTTATCTGATAGTTTTAATCCTATTGGATTACTTTTGAACAACTGGGCCCAGGATTGCGTCCTTTATAGACTCATCAGTGGTCGGCTGGAGGCTTAGACCAAACACATAATCACCTGAAGTGACTTGTCCTCGTGTGCACCGACACTGTGTGGGAACATTTCAAGAGCTCTGAATATAAAGATGTAGCCTGCTGCTATACTCTGGCAACTTCTCATGTCCTTTTCTTCTGCTCAGCGTACATTCTGCATTACATTGCGGCTTGCTCTAGTTCACTCATGTAACCCTAAAACTCTTTACTTACAAAGGCTATGCAAGGTGCCATGCTTAAAAGAAACTTTGCTGACAAGGTGGTCTGTGGATCCTTGCTGTGTGACACAAGTTCGAGCAGGACGAGTGGAGGAGAAATAGCAGAGCATGCACATATGGCTAAGAAGGCCCTAATAAAGTGTCATTTGTCTGTTGGAGATGCAGATGGGCGTGACAAATGATCTGTAAATGACAACCAGGTATTGAGAAAGGACTGGAGATTTTTTTTTTCAAAGGAATCTTGAATTGCATACATTCTATTCTCAGATGTCCCTGTTAGTGTGTCCACCTCTTTAGCATTACAAATCTTTTTATCCAGATTCATTTGAATACTGCCAATGAATATTGAGTCCAAAATGCATGGCAGAAGATTAAACCATTCTCCTCACTGCCTGCAAATCACACACACAAACGCACACCAACACACTCACACCCAAACTATCACAAACAACAACAACAGAGAGCACACACACACACACACACACACACACACTTACAAACAGGCTTTGGATAAAAACTAATAAAAAGCCTGGCAGAGGCACTATGTTTCGAGCCTCCTCTTTAAATTGATAAGATTGGGGCCACATCTCAGGTCGCCTTGCAGGCTATTCCACTGTTAACGGGGAAGAGTGACGAAAAGTAGCTTCCGGATTTTGGTCCCATATTTGGAACAACGAAAGTTAACAGATCAGATGATCATAAAGCTCTGCGGCTGTAAAACAGTGAGCCTGATAGAAACGTTTTGTAGAGCCAGGCAAGTTAGTGCTTCATAAACCTTGAGTGCAAACTTAAAAGAAAATCCAGGAGGCTTAAACAGAGCCAATGGAAAGGTCTAAGCAGGGCAGTGATGTGCTCAGCAAATTGCTATTGTAGCCTGTGCAGCAGTATCACCGTCCACAGGGGGGAGACCTAAGAGGAGGACATTTTCAGTAACCTTATACACCTGGAAAAAGTCAAATAAAATGAACAAAATGAGCAGAAGAAAGTTTCAGGACTCCTCTTTCCTAATGCCATCACTTCAGTAAACCAATCAGAACGATTGTCCTGACATTATACACCAGAGGGTCTTTCCTATTCAGGGCCCACAACTGTTCCTCTGGATTAGACTGGAGGATGTCATCTTGTGATACACTAACCATATCAGACTGTAGAATCCTCGGGGGAAAGGTAAACTTGACTTGCTGGAATATGTGATCTACATGCCTGATGATCTACTGTGACAGGTGTTCTGTGGTCAATTCTTCCCTGCTACATGCTCAGAAAAAATACTTCAAAAGTTCTTCTCACACTCCATTGGCTCTGAAACCTTAGATTGAAGTTGAAGGGTGGAAGACCACTCCCTTCTGCCAAAGCCTTGAGGTAGTTCTCGGCGCTGTGACGGGGATGGAGCGGTGATTGATTTATAAGGTGCTGTAGCGACAAAAGAGTAATAGCCTAAGGATGAATTATGTAGTGGCAGGTTTGAATGCCACTTGTAGTCTTGTCAGCAACAGGAAAAAACGGATCCTAACTTTGGAGGGTTGCCCTAATTTTCTAAATAGTGCTCTAGATTCTTACCATCAGACAAAATACAGGGAGTAGACAGTTAAAAAAAAGTGGGGCATTGTGCAACTAAGAGCCAGGTAAGGCTAAAAGGAGAGTTCTCGACTATATTTTGAGGGTACCAAAAGCACAAACAAAACAGAGAAAAACCTCTAAATAACATTCTGTGTCATTGTCTGCTTGGTTATAGAAGCTGTTGCTGACATATCTACCAAAATAACTCTTTGAAGGTGATAACTGATTTGTGTTGTGTTAGGGAAGAGTCTTCATTTGCTTAGGTGACCCAAGCCCATGATTCACCACATATCTAATCTGTGGTTCTGCTAAACCTGTCCATCTCAATTAAAGACTATAAGTTTATTTTTTATGATCAAATATTTATTGGTTATTTTTCCAATATGGGGAGGCAACATGGAAAGACTAGACCTCCCAACCCCATTACCCCACCGCCCGGGCATCCCGGGCATAAACAAAACCAGTCAAGAAAACAAGAATTGACAGGATTATGCTGATTTCCTCCATCCTCCATTATGATATGATGATATCCACAGAAGTAGCCACAAGAAGTACATAGCATGTATGTATATGAGAAGACAAAGGGGGTTACATATAATATAAGAAGTTTATTGACTTTGCTATACTGCGGGCAAAACGATTGATAGCTCTCAACTGGAAGCAAACTGTGGCAACTACAATAGGTTCTTGGATTAAGGCAAAACATATGTTAATGGAGAGAATAACATAAAACCCTGAATAAGAAGTTGCATGTCTTTGATGGGATATGGAGACCAAGACTTTATGAAATGTGAAGATATTGGAGTGCTTCTACAAGAGGAAGACTCAGGTTGAGTTATCTACAGAATAACAATAATGGTAAACCAGAGAAGTCGATGAAGGCAGGATTTGGAAATATGTCACTTCTGGTTTATGCATATTTATTTGTGTGTGTGTGTGTATAGATCTACTCTATGTGTGTATATGTCATAGGCATAACATATGTATGTCTTTTCACCTGTTTTTCCAAAGGTGCCATTATACTTGAAGGCACAGAAGGAATGTATGATTTTATGTATGTAGGGGTGGGTGAGGGGTTGAATGTAATGTGCTTGTTTGTTAATATTGTAAATTCAAAGAAATCAGCTTTTTATTGTGTTAAATTAATTTGCTGACTGTGTTTAAAATCATCGAGGGGGAAAAAAACCTCGTCCAGCTATCTTCTCTAGCTGTGCTATATCTTCTTCATCATAGGTTTATACGGTTCATCAGTGACTTTGCTTTAGACATAATCAAAATATGAATAATAAAATCCTTGCACATTACATTTTTGGAAAATAAATTCTTTAAAGCTTAAATGATCAATATGTTCTTTCCAGTTTCCTCCCATGTATTTTGTTTGTTGATAAATTTCAAGTCGTACTGAGCATTTAATATCCATTTACCCCCTCTCTATGTTCACTCTACGCCTGACTGTCCTGGAAGATGGCTTCCTCTCTGTAAGACACTTTATGCAGTTCCTATTATTTTTGTCTCCTAACAAGTTGCTTTTGCTCATTTGATATGGTTTCCTATCTGAGGTTTTCTATTTTCAGCTATGAAGTCAAAATATTGTGTGCACAGTCGAGACCTTTGAGGATGTTAGTAAGGGCTGTGCATCACCTTGATCTGATTTGACTCGACTTGCTGCAATCTAAACTGGTGATTTATTTATGATTTGGAATCGATTCAACTTAGGGAAACCCGTCCTTCAACGTCATCACTTCCCTACAGGGCAGGTGACGATATTCAAAGGTCTGAAGCCAAACATGAAGTACACCCAAATGAAATGTTTCAGAACACGGAAAAGTATGCGTCTGGTACCTTTGTTTATTTCGAGACCTATTGCCCTGCATGCTGCACAAAGTAGTAGTTCATTTTTATGAAATAGTTTTATGTGCTGGTTATACAAAATATGTGACAATTGTAGAGTTAACTGTTCAGATACCAGATAGCTTCTCTCTGTTGCGGCCTTGGCCTCAACCTCAGCTTTCCCCGTGTTGTCTTGTGTTTTCCCATCCCCCTCTTGTGTCTGTCTGTTCCTGTCTGTCATTTTCTGTCTGTGTGGCAGGCCTCTTCATCTCCTTCTCCTCACCTGTTTCCAATTCCACAATTAAGCACACAGTGTTTAAAAACACCGGTCTTCATCCACTCTTCATCCAGATTGTCAGCTACCCACGAGTGGTAGCAAAAATCAGCTTTTCCTTAGTGTCAAGAAGCTTGTTTGCCAGTTCTTTGAAGATTTTTCTGTTGTTTAAGACTTGTCTCATTTTTGTTTTTGCTCTAGTACTTTTGACCTACCTGCCTGCCCGCCAAAACCACCTTCCGGATACCTGCCACTCTGCTTGTTTTGGACAATAAAACGACCCCTTGAAACCAGCTCCTGTGTTTGTGTGTTGCACTTGGGTCCAACCTTAAGTGGAATCGTGACACTCTCTAAACAAATAATTCTCTTGTGTAAATTATGTCATTCATATAACTGGGACTTGTCTCTTGCCTGAACCACTTCCTGCCAGCAACCAGTCTCCTCACCAATTACTTGTATTTCATTTCAGACACGACAGTAGTGAGGGAGGCGATATCTTCCTACATAAGGGCCTTAGAAGTCGCCGATGCCCTTTGAAATAATTATGAAGAGAGTACCAGAGGAACATGCTGCTTCATCTCAAAGTAAATGGGACGTTTACCTGCTACACACATTTACTTTTGGATGATCCGTCCCCCTTTAATGTTTTTTAATTATAATTTCAGTGAAAACCCAGCTGCTATAGTTGCATTAGATCCGTAAAGAAAACTCTGTCTCTCAAAGTTTTCGTTCCCTTTGGCACTAACGATCGTTCTTTTTTTATGTTTTAGGTCCCTACATTATAACTACTTCTTCTGTGTCTTGACTCTGTTACTTGCAGTTTCTTGGAAAAAGGAGGAAAGATCACAGAAAAGCACCTGCTGTGATGACAGCAGTAGAGGTGATAGTAGAATGTTTGTAGCTATAAATAAAGTCTCAAGACTTTCTCTACGAAAAGTACAACCCCATAAAGTTTCTGTGCAACAGCTTATTACAACCTTATTCATTTATTCACATAAGATCTTCATTATGTCCATTGTAAATATGATGGAAGACATAGCAGAAGTCTATAAAAAAGAGAGAGCTGGTTTTGGGGCAATGAATGCAGGTCAAACAATGTCAGGACTTTCCCCTTGTAGTCCAGGATTAAAGTTCTGTGTGACAGCCACAGGAAGATGCTCTAAGACTCCATCAAACCTCCACACGTGGGGGTTGGCCGAGAGGCCCAGTTGCATCCTCTGCGGAAGGCCAGCTAACCTTGAGCATGTCCTCTCCTCGTGTCGGTCAAGTCCGACGGTTGGGAAATTCTGGTGGCGACATGACCAGATTTTGACACAACTGACTGGTGGTGTGGAGCAGGCCAGACTGAAGCAAAAACAACTTCCTAATGGTCCTTGTTTCATCAACTTTCTCAGACCAGGGGAAAGTGCAAAAACAGCAGAGTTGAGGAGCAAAGGGGCCACAGGAACGGCAAGCGACTGGAAGATGTGGGCTGACCTTCAGAAGCAGTTCCTTACCAACCTCAGACCCAACATAGTCCTCTGGTCTAAAGGTACCAAGCAGGTGATCATTAGTCTTAAATTAAATGACTGGATGGCCCTACCTGCCTATCTGTTCACACTTTGATGGGCACTCTTGGTGCACCACACCATCTCACCAGCTCCAGTTAGTTTGATGGGTACATAATAAAGGAGAAAACTTTGAAAAGTGGCTTGTCAAAGTTCACAGTAGTTTCACTTCATTTAGCAACGACATGAGATTGGTTTTCCAACAGAAGTGAATGTTTTTCTCTTAGCATGCTTATGATGACACACAACTGTATACCTCAGCATCATCACATGACTACAGTCCTTTACACTCACAGAAAAAAATGTGGTGATGGAATGTGGTGATGAGTGGATGTGCCAAATTTTGCGACAGTTAAATAAAGACTGAAGTATTCATTCTTGACGAAAGTACTAAGAATCAAATTTCTGTCAGCAGAAAAAGGAGAAACTTGTTCATGCTTTCATTATTTGCAGGGTAGATTATTGTATCGCTGCTTTCACAGGACTGACTTAAAAATCAATCAGACAGCTGCAGCTCATCCCGTATGCTGCCTTCAGAGTCCTTTTCACCAAGTAGAACAGATTACATCAGTCCTCATATCGTTACACTTTCTTCCTGATGTGAGTCAAAGGATTTTAAAGTCTTACTTGAAATTAATAAAGCACAAAATATGGGATGCCCAGACCCTTCAGATTCTCTGGGGCAGGTTTACTCAGTGTTCCCAGCACCAGGACCAAACAAGAGTGAGGTATTTTTTTAGGCTCCTCAGCTGTGGAACAAACGAGAACCTCAGGTGTTCTCAATCAGGTCTTTAAACATATGTATTCATTGTTGCCTTTTTATAAGTCCAATCACTCCTTATCTACTTACACTTAATTCTTTGATTTAATTAAGTCATCTTTAACTATTTTTGTTTTTAAATGCTCTCTTTCTTTAATCCTTTACTTATTTTTTTAATTTAAAAACTATGTATTCTTTTTTTTTTGTTGCCAATTTAAACTTTTTTTTCTTTCTCTTTTGGATTTCAACACATGTTGTATCTTATGCGTATTTTATATCACATCTCTATGTATGCTCCTAAACATTCTCTTTTAAACTTCACCCCTCAGCAGGCATAGAGTCCCAGTGCGGACCAAGTCTGGAAATCGGTCTGGTAGCTGGAGAAATGCCAGTTCACTTTCAAAAAAATCAAACCCACCCCCACCAGCTGAGGAGCGGCTGTTAGCAGCCCCCTCTCTCTGACATCTCTCCATTAGGTCATGTCCATAGGATCATGTGCATGTGTGTGTTTGTATTTCAGCCTATGTGTGTGTAACATGTTCGACAACAGAGTTATTGGATTAATGAATTAATCATTTTCGACATCATATCGACAATTTTTAATCATTTCATGTGCTCTTTTTTTTTTAAACATTATGCTTTGCAATTTTAAATAAAGAAGGCAAGCAATAAACAACACCGTTAAATGGATCCCACAATAAATTGTTGAATGGGAGACATATGCATATGTGAAATAAGACAAATCTACTCACATGTTAATGGAATTATAAAGCTTGATGAGGAATGTCAATTAAGCTTATGCAATGGTCAAGGTGGGTTGATCAAGTTGTTTACAGTTAAAGTAATCAGTGTATTGCTTCACATTAATTGAATGAATAAAACCAAAGGACCGGGATTAAAAATGTAATCTATGGCAATTCTGTAACAGAAAAATATACGATTACAAAACGCATATATTTTAAATCATGACAGACTGAGAAAAGTTACTGGAGCTTAATCACAGCTTTTGCTTCACTTGTGATATTAAACTGCAATCTGGTCCAAAATGTTTCTGTGTTCCTGTCTGATCATTTTAATTAAAACATATTAATGCTCATACCATATATGTATGGGCAGATTAAGCATTAATAACTTCCTGTGTACTTTGTCATAATCCAGATTCTAAGATTATTTTAGATAGAGATTTTTTTCTGCCCCTCTCCCTAATCGTCTAAAAGTGTCTGAAAACATTTCACTTTGCAAAGTGAAGGTAAAGCAAACAAATAATAGGATCCTGAAAGCCGCTCTAAGGAGGAATCAAGGGAGAGCTAATTTAGAAAAGCAATTTATTTAGCTGATTTAAAGTTTCATATTGAATTTAATTACCTCTCAGTGAATAACTTCCTCAAGTTTTCCTCATTTCACATGACCAAGCCCATAATTCTCGGGGTTAAACACAGCGTCATAGTTGTTCCCCCCCCCCCCCCCCCTATCCCTAACAAAGCTCATTATCCACTGCTTTCTCCTCCTCCCTCTCCTTTCACACATTCTCTGACTTTCTTTGCATTTCTGCTCCACCGCTCATCTTGTTCACTGCAGCCAATTTAAAAAGTAGCTTAATCCTGGAGAGAATACCGTTGCTGCTTCCAACCTCACTCCTGTGAATGATGTCTGGCAAGATCTAATCTAATGTGCAATGTTCAGGTGATTGACACTATACAGGTGTGCTCCTGCAAATGCAAGTGGATGCAAAAGAAAACCACATAAGGGGTTTACTTAGTGCTCTCCGTCTGCTTGGAGATTAGAACCACATGTCAGGCTTGCCACGCTATCGCAAGAGCTTCTTGATTGCTCCTGAAATCAACTTGCAAATCAGGGAGTTCTGAAGCTGTCCTCCTCTTCTATTCCACAGTCTATTTTTATTGTCTTTTTTTTATCACAATATGCGACTTGCCTTGATTGGCAAGGTGGGCGGACCTGCTATGGGGTGTCTGACAAGTTGTAAGAAAGCCTGAAAGTATCATTATTAAGCAAATGTAACTAACTTGGGTTTGATGCTTACAACCCGTAACACAATACTAAAAGTATACAAGAGCCCATATCGGATTCTTGTCTTTTTTTTCTGCTTGAAGTGTAAAAAATGAACACCCGAAAACTCATTATCCATGTTCTTTTTTTTTAGATGAATCTTTTTCTTTCTTTCTGTCTTTTTTTTGTGTGAAAACATGTTTCAGAGCTACTGTACACAGTGCGATAAGCACAGACAAAGGTCACAAAGTGCTTTACATCAACAAAAAAACAACAACAGCATACATACAATGAAAGAAGAAAAAATAAAAAAAGAGTACGTCATGGACGACATTATAAAATCCTGCTATAACCAGGAACAATAATTGGCACAATAAAACATAGATGAGTAGGTACACTGGGTGGACCTTATTACCCCTAGGCCTGTCTAAACATTAACGTTTTTAACGAGATGGGTAGAGAATTCCAGAGGATTGGTGCTATGGACTGAAACGCACGAGCCCCACGAGTCTTAAAATGTGTCAGCGGGACAGACAGCAGGTGTAGGGTGTTCACCTTAGTGAATGGGTGGGTGAATACGGGTGAATGAGTTCTGACAGATAATCTGGGGCCTGACCGTGAATGGCTCTGAAGGTGAGAATGAGAATTTTAAACTTAATCCTATATGCCACAGTTAGCCAGTGCAGTGTTTTCAGTCTCGGAGTGATATGAGACCGTTTGTTTGACCTGGTGAGTAATTGAGCAGCAGCATTTTGGATTGACTAGGACGGACATGCTAAGTGAGGTGAAAAGAGCATTACAATAATCGATACGAGATAAGACAAAGGTGTGCAAAATCATCTTGAGTTCTGTGAAAGACACTAATGTTCTCAGCTTACTGAGACACTACATTTCCTAAGTGAAAAAAGCATGATTTGGTTAGCTGTTTAACATGGCTGTCCAGCGATAATGAAGGAATGAAAATTACTCCCAGATTACAGAGGTTGGTGCGAACAGCAGAGGAGAGGGGCCCAATGTTTTGCATGATTGTTGAAACATACTTGTCTTGGGCAATAACTACGACTTCTCTTTTTTTCTGCATTTAGTTGTAGGAAATGATCAGTTGCCCAGCCGTTGATAGCATTTTTACAGTCTAGGAGCCTGGACAATGTAGAGGCTTCGCTAGGTTTAAATGAAAATTGCAGTTATATATCATCTGCATATAGATGATATGCAATATTAAAACTTTGTATAATCTAGATAGAGAGAGAACAACAGAGGTCCCAGGACTGAGCCTTGCGGGACTCCACACGATAAAGGAGAGGAGTCAGGCATAACTCCCCAACAGAGACAGTGAAGGTTTATTTCACTTAGATATGAAGAGAACCAGTCAAGCTATTAGTCAGCTTTGTTTTCATTCCATAAGATCCTCAAAGCTAACAAGGTGGAAGGAGTCCAAGACAGTAGGGGTAGCAGAGGAGCTGGCTTTAGGTGGGTGAGAGTTCGGCTGCATATTGGTCCTTATAGCCAACACCTTATCAAGAAAGGAGAGGAACTTATTGCAGTCATCAGTTGAACAGCATGGTAAGGTGGATGGAGATGGTGAGACAATAGTATTGATTGTGTCAAATACAACTTTTGGATTCCTTCTAGAGGAAGAGATTAAAGTGCCAAAGTAAGCAGTTCTGGCTTCCTGTACTGAATGTTCTGAATACAAACATAACAGCTGGCTGGAGCCTCTCTGTGTGGAGTTTGTATGTGTTCACATGGGCTGCATGGATTTTCTCTAGATTCTCTGCAGTCCTGCAGTCCACATACAAACAGGTGATGTTACAGGTCCAATATGTTGGATATTTACTGAATGAAATCCTAAAATGACCCTACTATATCATCAGACATTAAGGAAACATGGTATGTTGGAGCGCTGGCTTCTCTGACAACAACGCAGCAGCCAGTATGTCCTCCTCTTTAGTTTAGATTCTGGTGTGGAATGGTTTGTTTTTGTTTGACCAGAGAAGTAGGTGGCCCCCCACACGGCTGTTTTGCCTCAGGTGTTGCAGCAATAATAGCGGGCAAGTGAATCGGTTCAGATAATTGATTCTATCCGACCTAAAAAGCCTCTGCATTTTTTCTAAAAAGCTCCACGAACAGAAACGTGGTGAAACTAGGATAAATATTGGAGATGCTTTTGAAAAATGGAGAGAGGTTAGAATGTAGAATGTCACATAGCAACCTGCAGGCATATCCACTCTATAGGGTGGACGGGGTGGGGGGAGATGGCTCTCTCCAATGATTTGAATTTGGGCCACAGTACCGATTTTAAACGCTAGGTGTCAGAGTTGCATATTGGCCCTTTAACTGGCAACTCATACTAGTGCATGAGTTATGAATATAAGCATAAATGGCTGTCAACTATTTGATTGACTGGTTAACTGTTAGGGTGTTGACTTCCTTTTATGTGAGATGGGATCAACTCAAGCCCCCCTTTAACTCTGTAAACAAATGGATAGAGTAATTCATGGGTTTTCTTAAGAATAGTGAAAAAAGTTAACGAGCTGTTTGTGGCAGACCTACCTCTCTTATTTTATTGGTTGGATAACACATCTCATGAATGTCAGCTCATTCAAAGAACTACTTTCTGGCATGGAACTTGTTGATGGCTGTTCAACCTAAATCCATACTCGGGTTTCAGTGAAAGATTTACAGTCTTAGCAGGCAAGATATCCATTACCATCATCATCAGCCCTTCACGGTCAAGTCCTTCAAGCTGTCACCCCAGTTTTTAGTTCCCCTTCCTTATTTATAAGTGGGTCAGCCCCCTCTTCTAAGCAGCTTCAAATTCAACACTCTGTGTTTGCGTCCAATATTCCACACATTTAAAGTCACACTTGTCGGGTTGAGTTCTTCATCATCTGCCAGTCCCCCCTCATGGAAAGCCAGCCAATCAACATGTTTAAACTGCTCATGGGTGTTTATCTTTGAGTGAGGGGCCTCCTGAGTTTGGTTTGGCGGTATGGACTTGGGGAGAGGCGCTTGTTTCATGGTGGAAAGTGTTGCCCCACATAGCAGGAGTGTAAGAAATAACACATGATACAAGTTTAAATACTAATAAAGAAGGAATAAAGATAAAATGAGATTGCAGATTCATTTATGTAAAACGTAGTGCTCTAAAGTTTCTGTTATAGTCTTACAAATGTCCCATTTATTAGGGGTTGTTTTCTGCATGCATGTTTAGGATTATAAACACACCTACTACTTGAACACACTTTTGTTTCAAAATGAGGATGTTTAAAAGTGCTATGGCATTGAAACAAATTTACCTCTAGCTTTCCTGTTCTGAGTGAGAACACAACAAAGAGACTGCAGTGGGGAAAAAAGAAACACGTGGCTGCACTGATAAAAGCCCAAGGGTGCTCGGGTTCAAAAGAACCTTCACAATTGCAGCCTTGAGATGTTTCTTTTCGCTGGACAATCTGCACACAGAAGTGAAATATTACTTTTTGGAGGCTGTTTATTTTCTGCCTGTATTTGCTCCATTTTGATGCTCTCTTCCCCTATTTGTATTGTAAACATCCTTTTCTTGTTTGCCTCCCAAAATTGCTTTTGTAACGCAAAAAGAAAAGTGCCATTTAGTAAATGGTTGAAGCATTTTCAGTCAATCATTGGTCATACTTGGGTAAACATACTTTATAACTGAAAGTGTTACTTTTAAAAAAAAAACTCTCCCACAGATTTCTATTTTCACAAATTATAAATTGAACCATGAAGGCAACAGTATGCATTTTTCCCACTGGAAGGGGCTAGTTTTTCTCACCTATCCTCTGAAAATGGTGATGCAAGCCTTACGTTTTCACTCATATTAATAAAAGAGCATCTAGCCTGGGGCTGAAGTAACCTGCATGTGAAAAAAACAAAAACAATAAAAAAACTGACATGAAAGAAAACAAAGTAACAAGCTTTTTAGATGTTGACTTCAGCTCTTTCCCTTGAAAAGGCTTAAAGACAGAATGTGCGACATTGTACACATAAATACAGCAGAAATCATGTATATTAAATGTCTCT